CGCAGGACCCAGTCATACCCTAAATTCCACAAAAGGGGACCGAGGACCGAGCCCTGCGGGACCCCACAGGTGACAGCATGTGTGCGCCACCCGTCTCGGCTCTGGTAGGAGATCCGCCTGTCACAGAGGTAATCGGCCAGTACCCTACAAAGGTATCCAGGCATCCGGTGATACCGAAGCGCCTCTAGGATAACGCTCCAGGGCAAGGTGTTGAACGCGTAACCTACCTACCTTCAGGGTGTGCTGCGCAGTGTCCTCATCGGCGCCGCACCCATGGCACGACGACGTCTCCTCCCTTCCAATCCTCCACAGGTACCGCCCGAAGCAGCCATGTCCGGACAGCACCTGTGTCAGGCGGAAGGTGAGGGAGCCATGGCTCCTCCCGAGCCAGTCCGGGAGCCGCGGGCGTATGGCCTCTATAGTGCGCACGCCGTATTCGGCGCGCGCTAGGACACTCGCCCACAGCTCCACGGTCGTCCGTTTCCTCCGCTCCCGGGCTCGGGCGAGCTCTTCCGGGGCAGGAAGGTCGCCCTCCGGGCTATCTGCTCAGCCCGCAACCAGTAGCCTTCGGCCAGCACCGCCGCCTCTATCTCCCAAGAGGGGGTGGAGAGTGCCAGCCAGAAGGCAGGCCGCAGCGTGGCCTACCATTCGGTAGGCCCGGCATATTCGCGATGACGCGCTGCGGCCTGCGGAGGAAGGCCCTGCTCGACGCGTCCAGGGCATCTGCCCATATCGGCGCGCCGTACAGGGCCATGCTCCTGACGACCGTGGCGTACAGCCGTCTGGCATGTACGCCCGGACCCCGCAAGTTCGGGAGGAGCCTCGATAGGGCCGAGGCCGCACCCATGAGCGTGGGGGTCAGCGTCCGGAAGTGTTCTCGGAACCGCCAACCCCCGTCGAGGACAAGGCCAAGGTACTTGATATGACTCTTGACCTTTACCTCGTCCCCGCCGACCCGGAGTGAGGCGCCCGCAGGGACCCTCCACCTCGGCTCTTAAAAAAAAAAAAAGTGTATGGTACTGACAATAATTAATGAAAATAAATACTTTCGATAAGTCAAATGATTGTCGCGCGTCAGTTCCATACAATATGAAGTTCGCTATGAAATCGTTCCGAAGCGAATGCACTTTGTCTAACTGTACTGTATTCTTTCAAATGTACGCCTACATACATAAGAAAAAAAAAAAAATTAATCTGCTGAATCAGTAGATTTTTTTGTTTGTTGTTTCTTCATAGACTAATGTTTCGAAAAAATAAGCTTACTTTTTATAATAATCATGATTTAAAATATATTTTCATAGTTAATAAACTGTTTTGATTAACCACCATGATTAAAAAAAAAAAAATGTTTTAATTTAGATTATGTAAAGGTGTGAAAATAAAATTGCCAATGAATGTAATTTTACGATCTAAATTCTTAAAACAGCCTCATAAGGCGGACCAAAACTTTTATGGGTTTATTAATGTACTAGATATCGCTCAATAATTGGACTCGTGAGTAAATTGAGCGGAGCGTGTCAAGTGATGTGGTCGCCGCGAGCCGGCGGCCAGCGGCGGCGCGCGGCGATCAATCGTCGCAGCCAGCAGCGAGGGCGAGCGCCGTATCGCGGCCGCTCGTCCCCCGCTTCCCTAGATCCTCCTCATGCCCCGCAAGCGCCACACACGCGCGCCGGCGCGCTGCCGCCGCTGCCCGCGCCTTGCCGTGCGTCGCCCTGCAGTGTGGCGCGGCATTACGTCACGAGCACACGAAGTGCCGACTGAGGGCCGCGGGCAGGTCGCGCGCGAGTTTTGTGCGATGCGGGTGCGAGCGCGGGCGGTGCGGGGCGCGGCGAGTTGAGCGGCGGCATGCGGGGCGCGGCGCTGACACTGGCCGCGCTGGTGGCACTGGGCGCGCGTGGTGCGGCGGGCGGCTGCGGCGTGGCGGAGTTCGCGTGCCGGGGTGGGCCGTGCGTGCGTGCGGACGCGTACTGCGACGGCGAGGCGCAATGTGCGGACGGCAGCGACGAGCCGGCCGGGTGCTCGGTGTGCAACCGCACGTACTACGGGCGTGCGGGCGTGGCGTACAGCGTGGCACTGCGCGGCGCGCCGCGAGCGCCCTTCCTGTGCCACCTGACGTTCACTGCAGGCGGTGGAGCGCACGGGGACCTGGTGCAGCTGGCGTTTGACGAGTTCCGCGTGGGGCGCTACGAGGCGGGCGCTCTGGACGGCTGCCCCGACGGTTACATGCAGCTATCGGAATTGGGCCGGCCCTTCACGGGCGGCTCGTGGTGCGGGGCAGCGGACGGCGCGGCGCTCTACTATAGCGAGACGGCCACAGTAACCGTCTCCGTCAAACTGTTCCGCGCGAGGCTCGGGGAGCCTTTCGGCTTTCGGCTGCGATATAAATTTCTGGCGCAACGCGATGCAATCGTCAGGTCGGTGAAGTTAACTTTAAGTAGGTCGGAATTACTTACACAGGTATATAATAATAAACATTAATAACTCTTGCAACCTCACTTTTTAATTGAGTTTAAGTGTACAGAAGTACAAATAGCGCTAATGATTGCTTGCCTACCTTCGAAAGAAGATGGCACTTTATGAAGACAAACTTTGAATACATTAGTACAACCGCATGTTGCTGTTGATTTCAGACAAAGATTTTCATTAAACTATCCGCCTCACGCGACGTCGTCAGCATACATTAAAAAAAAAAATAAGAAGTCGCCTATACATAATCCACCCGCAGATTTATACTCGTATATCCTTATATCGGTCCAGTCGTTTCGGATATTACGGAGTTTTACATTATAAACGTAGCAAATATACACCATTTTGAAATATATCATGTATGTCATACACAGGGTGTTCCAAAAGCTTACGTACATAGGAAGGGGGATGATAGAGGTGGTCACAAGGGTCACCAGAAAAATAAAATAAAAATTCCCCTCTGGGTGTTAAAAAAAATAAACTTAAAAATTTTACACCTTCTTTTACACCTACAATTTTAATTTTCTTTTAAATCTTTGTTAGTTGTATTGTTTTTTTTATTTTATATTGATAAAGGGTTATTGACGATAACATAATAGATTTTTTTTTAAATATAGCAATATTTGTAGGTCATCGGTTACAAAATTGTCAATCAATGTCTGTAGTTTTATATGTACGTACATGAAATAAAGCTACACAAAAGATAAAAACACCACGAGCAGTAAAGAGGAATATATTGAACACAAGAAATGTACTATAAATTTCAAGTGAATAAATACATCAGACATCGTACTGATGCTCTTGAGCAAGTGCTGAAAGTAAAACCAGGCAATGGGCTGGTCATATATACCTCGTACATATGTTGCGGTATACAAATTACCGATGATATCAATATTTATGCTTTATAGTATATATTATTGTCTATAGAAATCATTTCAAGTAGATTCAAATTAAACCAATTAAAAAAAAAAATTAATTAATCTATAAAATTCCTCGGTGGATTCAATTGGTCATACGTTTGCACCTATATACGTATAGTAATTTTGACGAGATTGACACAAAAACAAAAATTATTTTTGTCCTAGGCATTTTGAAGACTTTCTTAGAAAGTACATTTGCGTAGGTTTGGCGCAGTAGGCGCGCCACTAGAGCGCGGCGCGGTGGCACCCGGCACCTACTGTACGCGCACCTACGAGGAGTGCCACCGCAAGCGCTGCCGGCTCCAGAGCCCCAACTACCCTGGCATGTACCCACGGTAAGCGCTGATCACGCGGAGCCCTAACTGCCACGAGTATATGAAATTGTATAATAATGTATGCCGGTGTATGGTAACGTGTGTTGGCGCGCCACAGGAACGTGACTTGTTATTGGAGTCTGCGGCAGAAGGACATCCCGACGTGCAAACACGCGATGCTCTCGGTGCGCCAGGACCACTCGCACAAGATGCAGATCAAGCGCTCCATATCGATGGCTAGGTCAGTATCGATTGCGGGTGACCATGAGTCGCGATAATCACTTTGTTGTCCCCAGTAATCGTTTGCCCTTTTAAATAAATTAAAAAAAATATATTGTTTTGATTTTATTTTAAATGTGAGATTATTTTCCACGCAGTTTAAACAAGACGGGGCGGGCGGTGCGCGCGTGGCGCGAGTGCACGGGCGAGCGCGACCGGCTCATCTTCTACGACGGCGCGTCCACCGACGACCCCGTACTCATCGAATACTGCGGCGGCGACTGGCTGCCGCGCGTCACCTCGCGCGGGCCCGAAATGCTGGTCGCCTTCCACTCGTCGCCGTTCAGCGCGCCCCCGCGCCCCGCCGCTCCCGCCGCGCCTCTAAGGGGCTTCGAACTTGACGTCGATGTCGTTTTTGCCGATTCTGATTCACTCGATTACGCTCGGTGAGTAGCATTTTCGTCCAAGTTTTAGTAACTTTCTGTTTACGATATTATAAGTTGAAGTTTCGTGGCAGAGAAGCGAGACGTTGCGAGTTCCATGTCAAGGCCTCTTCATCGGAAGAGGAAACGAACGCCACATCGGCAGGTGGGCGAGGGCGCCGCGGCCGCCTGCACGCGCCCACGCACACGCTACCGCCCAACACCACTTGCACGTGGACGTTTCACGGTCGACCAGGTGAGATGGATATGTTTCTGAACTTAATAAAATTGTATATTACATCATTGAATAATTATATTATGTTTTTTTTCCCATAGGCGACCTCGTCTGGATATACTTTTCGAGCTTCACACAATACTCGTTGGTCGAACCGAAGCGAGTCGAAAACGGCGAACGCGACGAAGAACCGACTGCAACTTTGTCTCCGAGGCCGCTCTTGCAGGCTGGCGGGATGCGCGGTGGCGGAGCGGGCCTGGGTGGCGGCTGTGCCGTGGAGCTGCGCATCTGGGACGGCGGGGGGGAAGGCGAGACGGGTGCGCGGCCGCTCGGGCGCTACTGCGACGCAGCGCCGGCGCTGTGCGCGCGTGCGGCGCTCGCGAACGCGACGCGCTCGCCGCGCCCTTGCGCGCCCCCCGACGGCTACGTGTCGACGGCGCCGCTGCTTACGATGGCGGCCACTTCTGCGCCGGGAACGGCCACTCATCCGCTCACGTTTTCTTTACATTACGAATTCGTAGACGCCCGGCTGGAAGGTGCGCCGTTGTCCCTCGCCGAATCGGGCGGTTTGAGTGTCGAGCCGCCGGAATGCTCTAGACGACTGACCGTTCCGGGACTTTTCGCATCGCCACGTAATGCTCTATGGTTCGGGCGCGGGGGCGCTCGTCGCTTGCGATGTCTCTACAGATTGGAAACGGAAGGCGACCGAGTGGAGCTACGACTACTCGCGGCAGCCTTCGGTAGATCGCCGCGTTGCACCACCAGAGTGGATTCGGTGACCGGGCGACTCGTCTGCGCGCCGGACCCGCCGGAGCCGGGAGAATTGAGACCCAGCGAAGCGCCTTTCGACGGCGAAGAGGACGATGACTTATTTCGAGTGCCACATTTACGGATATATGAGTCGCCTTGGGCGGGGTACCGAGTGCCGGTGGCGTGCGTGTGCGACAATTCCACCGCGCCGGTGACCGTCAGCTCGGGGGGTCCGGCGCTCGAGCTGGAGCTGGTAGCCGGCAACCTGCTGGCCGCGGAGGACCAGCGCCACGTGCATTTCCGCGGCGAGTGGGCGCGTACCGCGGCACCGGCGTGCGCCGCTCGCCGCCGTCTGCCGCCGCCCGGCCGCACCATACATCTAGATTACCCATATAAGTGAGGCTTTAAATAACAAATTATGTCCTCATTCTGTGCTTGAAATGTTGGGTTAGATTAGACGTACGATTTTTTTTTGTGTGCAGTGTGAACAAGATGTCGGAATGTGGGGAAACACCTTTCCTATTGACGGCGCGCGGCAACCGGTCGGTGTTCTTGCGCGTGTGGGGAGAAGAGCTGTCGCTGGCGGGGGCGGAGGCGGGGGCGGGGGCGGAGGGGCACTGCGTCACGAACAACCGCGTGCTCGTGTACGACGCTCACTCCGCTCGGTGAGTTTGTAGAGTATTAAAAAAAATATTGTAATTTTTTAATTTTATTTATTAAGAAGCCGATAAATTAGCCAACAGATGCACAGTAATATTATAAGAACAATAGAATAGAGTTAAAGTTACAAAGCGACAAACAGATTATTTTAACACACAATATATTATTAATTTAAATTAGATTAGGTTACTTATTTTATTGTACAAATAATTTAACGGCACGTAAAAAATATCTCCATGAGAAAAGTTTTCGTTGTACAGGTACAGGTGAGGTAATCTCTAGTGCGTCTCTCAGGAGCGGGAGAATATAATGTTAACATTTGTAAATGTGCACGATTGTAATACATTGTGACGCTGGCAGGCTGGTGAAGGCGGTGTGCCCCGGCGAGCAGGTGGGGCGCACCGTGCACGTGTTCACACCGGAGTGGTGGGCGCGCGGGGCGAGCGCGGGGGGTGCGGGGGGCGCGGCGGGCGGCGGGCGCGGGGCGGCGCTGCTGGTGGTGTGGGCGGCGCGCGAGCCCGGAGCCGCCACCTTCACCTGGATGGAGGTGTGGCGCGCGGGACCGGGCGTCAACACGAGCGCCTGCGCTCACCCGTGCGAGGCCCTGGGCGCGTGCATGCCGGGCGCGCTGTGGTGCGACGGGCGCGTCGACTGCCCGGGCGGCGGGGACGAGCGCGGCGCATGCGGCGCGGGCGCGCGGCTGCTGGCGGTGCTGGCGGCGCCGGCGGCGGCGGGCGCGGCGCTGGCGGCGGGCGTGGTGTTGACGCTGGGGCTGCTGGCCGTGCTGGCGGTGCGGCGCGCGCGCGCTCGCGACAAGCGTCCGCTGGCCGCGCTGGCCGCCGGCCGCCGCCTCACGGACGAGCTGCTGTTCGACGCCTCGCGGACCTCCTCCTCGGCCTCCTCCTGACGGCGGGAGCGCTCCGTCGAGTACATCCACGTGGACCGCGAGACCACGGTCTGACGGAGCGCCCCGCCCTCGCCCGCGTCCGACGCTCGCTCTATGTGAAATCGCGGCGACTCGGAACTCGGAACTGTAGAGACGTATATGTATGTGAATTCGAGAGTGAGGTCGCGGCGCGAAAGTGTGGAGCGACCGAACTGAGGAGCGATGGCGCAGCATCATGTAAATTATGTAAAAATCCTAGCGTGTTATAGAACCGGTGGGCCGCGCCCGCGCCGCGACCTCCGCCTGTACAGCTTTAAGGTACTTACGGTCGTAGTGTACACTTTGTGATCCATTTAATTCTAGAAATATTTGAATTTGTTTGTCGATGTATGGATATATACATAATATATAAATATAATATTATCTTGGTATTGAAATCACGAACAGCAATAATAATAGATCCAATGAGTGCAGTTCCGGTGCCCGTTGTACTTGTGTGGAAGATGTGACATAAATGACTGTTACGGAGCTGTGCTGTGTCAGGTTGGGCCGGCTCGGGGCGGCCAGGCGACCGCAACTCGTCTGATTAGTGCATACATACACAATTGTATTTTATTTTGTATTCGTTTCCTAATTTCTCTACTATTATGTACGATCTGTAAACATTTTTCGATAAACTGTCCCGTCCCTCGTTTTGACTTGAGTTTATTGCAAAAATAAAAATATAGTTAAAATAAACACGACTTTTACTTCCCCAAACTTGTTATTGTACGCCGTTGCAATCGAGTCATAGCTACGTGCAGTAGCAAGCTGTACATAAAGACATAATATTAATGTTACATTTATCTCCAAAAATTGTAAAAATTACGAAACATTTGAGAATCGGGAAGTGGGAGGGACGTGTGACTTCACCGCGCGCCAAGTTTCCGACATTTTGTAATTAAACTTACTAGCACGTTGTTGTGATACTACTGAGTAAAACAAGCTAACAGTTCGTTCTACGCTGCCCACTGCAGTACGAGTACATCACTCTCCTCCCACCCCCCCCTCTCATCCGTCTCTGGGATATCCTGTACGGTGTGGTACGTACATACATGCAAGAATATATTTATATGGCTAAATAGCTTTTAATAGTAGAAAGCACACGCGGTGTGAATAGTGACCGAAATTAAACATTCCTGTAAATGATGATATATATTTATATAACGTGTGGTAAACTGCTGATGATGGGAAAACATGTACTGTTTGAAACCTTTTAGTGCGGAGCTATATGTGTTCTCATATGATAACTACATATAGATGACCCGCTCGCCCCCGCCCCACTCGCCCCACTCGCCCCACTCGCCCCGCATCCACACGCGCAGCCAGACAGAATGGCGACAGTTTTTTCGTTCTATACGAACGCTGATTGCAAATGCGAAGCGCAAACACTCCCCAATCTGTAACTCCTGTGAGGCGACGCCTGCCACTACCATCGCCCACCTTGAACATCACATCACTCACTTTACCTTCCTATTCGTCATATTTGTCGCGTATTAT